ATTGTTCAAAACCCAGTCTTTCATTTAGTATTAGGGTTAGTTCAGTTGTTTTCTTTGATTTGTGTTGCTCTACTATATAGGGACATTTACTATTTGTCTTAGGGCTTAAAGTGATTGCACATNTTTGACATATCTTTATGTACTCTTACCCCTATGTACATATTATGATAATATCAGTGATTGTTCAAAACCCAGTCTTTCATTTAGTATTAGGGTTAGTTCAGTTGTTTTCTTTGATTTGTGTTGCTCTACTATGTAGGGACATTTACTATTTGTCTTAGGGCTTAAAGTGATTGCACATACTAATGGTGCCGTAAAGATATTTTTTTCTTTTTTTTTTTCTCTTTTCTTTCTTTGATCAAATCTTACAAACACAGCATATTCAGGTGGACAAGAAGTTAGCAACAAAGGAATAATAAAAACCCTAACAATGAAAGTAATCAAGAACAATCTTAAGTGAAGTCTTGAAAGCAGGCAAATAAGCATGTAAGGAATAGAGTCAATGAGCTCATAAGGGGGTTAATCATGAATAAGTCTACATGATCCCTTACACTAGACTGAATGATTGAAGAATCAATAAGGGATGTGACAATCTCATCGGGTTCATGAAGGAGTTTGGATTAGAAAATATCAAAAGAATTAGACTGAGTGGCCAGACAATTAAAACCTGATTCCAAAGTGACAATCATGACTTGGAAGATAGATCACTGATGTGGTCTACACCTTGCCTAGTTGCTAATTGCAGACTCAATAGATTTTTCCTCTATTTTGACAACAAATGATGATTCAACATTTGGCTCAGGTGGAATTTTAAGAACCTCTTCAATCAATAAATGCAACAATAGCTTAGACTCATTTTCTTTATGGAAAAGGAAAGATGCCGACGTTATGCAATTAGAGGATGGGGGTCCGTGGTCCACACGAGCATAATCTTTTTCCTTATTTGGGTTTCTCATCTCAAGATTCATGGTCATTTTAGGATGAGAAAAATGTGTAGAAATAACATGGACATCATTCAAGAAGTCATAATACTCGGGAAATTATTTGAATGAGAAAAATTAGATTCCTTACCCTTGGTGGTTTGAACACTCTGGTTGGAAGTGGCCATCGTCAGAAATATTACTATCCCTAACAGTCGACCGTGCAACTTTACTCGGCCTATCAGAAGAAAGTCAAATGCAGTGGTGTATCTCTCTAGTTTTTGAAGCCATTAGCTAGTTAACTGCCTGAGTGAGTCTAGTCTGGGTATGACTCAAAGAAAGATTAGAATGTCCCACTCACTCACAATAAAATAGAATAGAGGATGTATGATCTGTACCATCTCCCGGATCCAAATTCAAAATAAGATAGGGTTCAACAACAGAGCCCCACCTTTCTATGGTAGAATCATACACCATAGAAGATTTTTCCTGGGATTGAACCAATTGTCATACATTTGATCTTTGTAAGAAATGGGCATATATTTCTTTTTCAATTTATGTCTAATGTCTACCCAAATGATAGATGATTCACTTAAATGGTCTAGGTTGCTTTGGATTCCTTGCAAATACTATTTGGTTAAGTCTTTTGACTTCTTCTTGGCAAAGTAAATGCAGTGTGTCTGTTACAAACGTACTCTGCTAAGCAAAATATTCTTCTAAAATGGTTAACCCATCCAAGAATTTTATGGGACATGATGCTACCTCTAAATCTAGAGAATTTTTAATTGATTTGGTCATCTTTGTTTAATCATGTAGACATACCTAAACTTACTTTGATTGTGAGTTTGAGGAGAACAATGAAACTTAAGAGTTTCTATCGACTCTCTGATCGCGAGAAAAACTTGGAGTAAATGCATGAATGAGAAGTATCATTTGGGCGCATAGATACTCATGGTCAACTCTTGGAAGATGAAAAGCACAAAAAAATTCAGAAGAGCAGACATTCAAGAAACGAAATAGAAGATTTGCCAACTCCCAATGATTGAACCTATAGTTTCAATTTTCTAAGAGAGTATGCATGGATTAATCAATGATTGAAGTAGACTGTAAGCTGCCACTTGGAAAGTTGTACCACAGCTTGCTCTAGAAATTTCTAAAATTTCAGAAACTTTAGCAGACTACATAATTTTTTGGTGATAATCTGACAGTGGCATATTTGGTGTTATTCTGCAAATTGTGTAATTTATGAGAATTTGGAAAGGAGAAAAGAATAGAAGAATGGAAAGAGACTTAGGAAGAAATGGAATAGAGTAAGAAGAATTGGGATTAAGGCCACCTTCAATATCTAGGTAAGATTATACCTATGGTTAATAACATGGTAAGATGAATACCGATGGTATGCTTCAGAAAACTAGATCTCTTCTTTGCATTCCTGCACAACGGTGTGTGATTTGTAAATGTGCTAGTGAGGGTGCAGATCATCTTTTCTCTTGCATTGTCTTATTGCATTGTTTTTGTGGTCCAAACTATTTCCATTTGCAAGTTTGAGTTGGATGATTCAAGGGGCCTTTTCCTCTATTTATGCGGAGGAGTTCGGGGGGTTTGGAAAGCATAAGAAAGGGTGGCCCTTTGGATTTGTGCAATTTTTGCCTTGACATGGGTCATTTGGTTGGAAATGAATTCTACAATATTTGAGGATAGAAGTGAGTTGAAGGAAGGATTATGGGACCAGATTTAATTTTTTGGGTTTGTTGTGGGCTTCAACTTCTAAGGATTTTGATGGCATATTCTCTTTTGTATTTTGGCCAATTGGAGAGCTTCTTGCTTTTCATACATATCATGTATTATGTATTAATCTTTTAATTTTCCCTTTCCTAGCTGAACAACTTGTCCATCCTATTTTCTTCTGAGATGTGCTATTTTCATATTAATAACCTTTTTGTTCCCTAAAAAAAGTAAAAAAAAATTTGCTAGAAGATCAGTACCTCAATCATTTTTATTAGGGACTCAAAACCCTAAAATTAAAGCTCCTAACATAACCCTACTCCTAAAAGAGAAATACTAAACAATATCTAAATAATAAATAACTCCTATGATGAATCTACCTCATTTATCCAATTCCCTTATTATCACTAACAACTAGTCTTTCTACTGGGCTTCAATTCTCCTCGTCAATCTAATCCCTTTTTATGCATANAGAAATACTAAACAATATCTAAATAATAAATAACTCCTATGATGAATCTACCTCATGTATCCAATTCCCTTATTATCACTAACAACTAGTCTTTCTACTGGGCTTCAATTCTCCTCGTCAATCTAATCCCTTTTTATGCATAAATGAGATAGAAAGTACAACTTACCATTTTTTATTTTTTAGGGGAATGTTTCAAAACCATAAATATTGGGATTTTGAATTTCCCTAACGTCCCTCAAACTGTGGTTGCCCCACCCCAAACGGGGTGGGTTCCTCACTTCAAATTATAACTGAAACCCATATTAACTCATGGTCTNGTGTAATTTATGAGAATTTGGAAAGGAGAAAAGAATAGAAGAATGGAAAGAGACTTAGGAAGAAATGGAATAGAGTAAGAAGAATTGGGATTAAGGCCACCTTCAATATCTAGGTAAGATTATACCTATGATTAATAACATGGTAAGATGAATACCGATGGTATGCTTCAGAAAACTAGATCTCTTCTTTGCATTCCTGCATAACGGTGTGTGATTTGTAAATGTGCTAGTGAGGGTGCAGATCATCTTTTCTCTTGCATTGTCTTATTGCATTGTTTTTGTGGTCCAAACTATTTCCATTTGCAAGTTTGAGTTGGATGATTCAAGGGGCCTTTTCCTCTATTTATGCGGAGGAGTTCGGGGGGTTTGGAAAGCATAAGAAAGGGTGGCCCTTTGGATTTGTGCAATTTTTGCCTTGACATGGGTCATTTGGTTGGAAATGAATTCTACAATATTTGAGGATAGAAGTGAGTTGAAGGAAGGATTATGGGACCAGATTTAATTTTTTGGGTTTGTTGTGGGCTTCAACTTCTAAGGATTTTGATGGCATATTCTCTTTTGTATTTTGGCCAATTGGAGAGCTTCTTGCTTTTCATACATATCATGTATTATGTATTAATCTTTTAATTTTCCCTTTCCTAGCTGAACAACTTGTCCATCCTATTTTCTTCTGAGATGTGCTATTTTCATATTAATAACCTTTTTGTTCCCTAAAAAAAGTACAAAAAAATTTGCTAGAAGATCAGTACCTCAATCATTTTTATTAGGGACTCAAAACCCTAAAATTAAAGCTCCTAACATAACCCTACTCCTAAAAGAGAAATACTAAACAATATCTAAATAATAAATAACTCCTATGATGAATCTACCTCATGTATCCAATTCCCTTATTATCACTAACAACTAGTCTTTCTACTGGGCTTCAATTCTCCTCGTCAATCTAATCCCTTTTTATGCATAAATGAGATAGAAAGTACAACTTACCATTTTTTATTTTTTAGGGGAATGTTTCAAAACCATAAATATTGGGATTTTGAATTTCCCTAACGTCCCTCAAACTGTGGTTGCCCCACCCCAAACGGGGTGGGTTCCTCACTTCAAATTATAACTGAAACCCATATTAACTCATGGTCTAGGTGATCCCAAATTATACCCTAACGCTAAGTTGTGATGTTATTTTTTTTTTTTCATACACAAATATGCAACCACTAACTTTTATTATTACAATCATTTTCCGGTACATTGCCACAAAAGTGTTATGAGAAGTGTCAAATAGAGAAACACAACCTTTAGGAATAACCCAATTCAAACTAAAATCACTATGGACGCTAAACCACAGTTACTTGATGCAATCCTGCTGTTGTTCCCCACAAAATATTGAAAATAAAATATGAAAACAACATCAATAGGTGCAACTTCAAATAATAACTATAGCACAAATTCAAGATGAATAATATGTTTCTGAATATAATATGGCATTGGCATATTAATGTCTTGGTTGATTCTAATCAATTGGCATCTTTATGCTGCAGGTGCATATCTAAAAATTCGTTTTTCATATTTGAAATGCTGAAGGTGAGTAGTGGTTTTATGCGTATGCTGCTCCTCTCTCCCTTCACATGTGAACAACATTAGATTATCTGAAATGAATGATATTTAATTGGTTAAAGACTATTGTTGTTGATTTGCTTGGCAGGCATTTGAGCCCCCAATTGATTTAAGCCAGGACATCAATATTTGTGAACAGCATCATCTGGATAATGTCTCAGGCAATCAAATTTTCCCTGTGGAGATGAATCCTTGCTCTTGTGAGTCTGCTTTGACAAGTAGAAGATGGTGTTACCCAAAACCTGATGAAGCTAGCCATGGAGAAGTGGGCAACGTAATGTGCAGATCACTTGAATTGGTCGCAGAAAATGAGGTCTCTTAGCATCATTCTTAAGTTTTTTGATGGGAGAGTTGTCGAGATTGCGGTCTCTGGTCTCTACTGTTTAGTACTTTATTTTGAATTTGACCTCTGTAGATAACAACAGGAGGAGAAAATTCAACCTTCGAACAAGACCAATAATGGGAGCTGTTCTGTAGGCTCAGAATATAAGCAAAAAGCAGATGATGCTGGTGGTCACGATATTGAGAAAAATCAGGTGCCCTTGTCTTATGTTGCTGATACCAATGGAGATGTAAGGTGTTTGTATTCGATTTTACTTTTTGCAAAAGAAACACAGAATATTTTTGATATTACCTGTTAACATGGTCATATTGTCAAAATTTGTGTTTAATAAAAATGAATTGAATTTAATTATATTGTCCAAGATTTTCTCTCTAACACACCTGCGCGTTATTGTAATAGCAATGATTTCTCTGCTTCTTGGTTCCTTCTTTTTTATTTTGTTCCAAGGTGGACACTAACGCTATGTACACGTGTTTGTGTATGTGTCTATATGCATATATATGTTTGTTTCAACCTGTCAACATCCTTCAAATATACCTAAAATAAATCTCTTGTACCTGCTCTTCTTATAGCAGGTGCCCTCATCACCACCTGATTGGTTGGATCCAGCATTTCGGCTGCATGTTCCACTAGCTGACATAGATAAGGTACTTTTTTCTCTGTGGCTGGAAACTTACTTTAAAGTTCTAGGATTTTCAGGTATGGTGAATTACTCGGTTTATTGTTTGGTTTGAAGTTTACCTTGGAAGAAGAGATGGTGTCTTCTGCTTGATTCATCCAATCCTAAATTTGCAGTTTCGGTGTCTGCCCTAGTACACTGTTTTGGATTTTGCAACTTCAAAAAAATTTGTTTGGTATTATAGTACTTGAAGTTCTTGCATGGGCTAAATGACTCGAGCGTATTTCAATGGTTAGTTTAACAATGTTACAGTATTTAACTTAAAAACTTAGGGAGAATTACATCTAGACCTCCTGAAGTTTGTATGTGCGTAACACTTAGATCTTTGCTGTTAGTATATGCGTTAGTGTTAGTAAATTTCACCTAGACCCCCTGAAGTTTGTAGGCATGTAAAACTTAGACTTCTCAAGTTTAAAATGTTATACTTAGATAAAAAATACTCTAACCAAAGATAAAATATCAAATATTTTAAATTTTACAATTAAAATTTATGTTTTATTATGACATTTATTGATATAAAATCAAAAATAAAAATTTAATTTTTTAAAAAAAATTATAANCTAGACCTCCTGAAGTTTGTATGTGCGTAACACTTAGATCTTTGCTGTTAGTATATCCGTTAGTGTTAGTAAATTTCACCTAGACCCCCTGAAGTTTGTAGGCATGTAATACTTAGACTTCTCAAGTTTAAAATGTTATACTTAGATAAAAAATACTCCAACCAAAGATAAAATATCAAATATTTTAAATTTTACAATTAATATTTATGTTTTATTATGACATTTATTGATATAAAATCAAAAATAAAAATTTAATTTTTAAAAAAAAATTATTATTAGTATACAATTATAATATCTATTGAAATTTAATTTGATCTTTTAAATGACCAAATTACAATTATAATACCAAATTACCTTAGTTAAAGTTAGAAGATATTGTGTCTATTATAGTTTGACCATTTATTTGGTTTTTTAGTTTTATTCTAATAGATAGTATAATTGTATATTAATTATGTTTTTTTAAAAAAAAAATATANTTACAATTATAATACCAAATTACCTTAGTTAAAGTTAGAAGATATTGTGTCTATTACAGTTTGACCATTTATTTGGTTTTTTAGTTTTACTCTAATAGATAGTATAATTGTATATTAATTATGTTTTTTTTAAAAAAAAATAGATTTTTATTTTTAATTTTATTTCAATAAATAACATAATAGAACATGAATTTTGGTTGTAAAATTCATGTTCTATTATGAATGATTTAGACCCCTTGTTTGATTTTTTAGTTCTATTCCAATAGATAGTATAATTGTATACTACTTACAATTTTTTAAGAAAAAATTGAATTTTTATTTTTGATTTTATTTTAATAAATGATAAAATAGAACATGAATTTTGGTTATAAAATTTAAAATATTTGATATTCTATCTTTAATTAGAGTATTTTTGGTCTAAGTATAACATTTTAAACTTGAGAGGTCTAAGTATTATACATCTACAAATTTTAGGGGGTCTGGGTGTAATTTATTAATGGATATACTAATGGTAGGGGTCTAAGTGTAATGCGAGTACAAACCTCTGGGAGTCTGTTTGTAATATTTCAAATGTCAAGGGGTCTGAGTGATTAAGTGACAAATTTCTGGGGTCTGGGTGTAATTCTCCCTAAAACTTAAATATATTGCCAAAAAAAACTCCATAATCTGGTGTCGCTCAATACCTTTGTGCAAAAATAAAAGTGATTCTGAAGGTCAGCATGTGCATATGTGGAGTGCCAGTGTGTGTTGTCTGCACTCTGCACAATTGGCTGAGCATTGTTCATGAAAGTGTGGGCCTGTAAACATCTAAATAGACTCTCAATGAAATGAGGAATACCACACGTGCATTTGAAATATAGGCTTCCGTTTAAGTATCATATTGAAATGCCAACCTTAAGCTTTATCCCAACTTTTGATGCACACATTTACATTAAGAGCATTAACTACATAGTATGAAGTCCATCCTAATGCACCCTTGTGTTTATAAATTAAAAAAAATTCACCATCAGGCATAAATATTTAACTTAGTGTGGGTCAGATGTATGTAATCCTATGATATAGAAGTGATTGGGTTCAATGATTGTTGATATGCTCTTCTTCCTCCGCTTTTTCCTGGGAAGAGGCTGCTAGTAAAGTGTTTGCCTTATCATTTCTAATCAAAATCTGTAGCTCAGTGCATTTTTGTGACCCCAAGTCCTCCTACTTATGGTGCTTGTTTATTCATACATATATTTTTCTGTCAGGTACGATGTATTATAAGGAATATTGTAAGAGATTGGGCAGCTGAGGTAGTCATTACTTGCTTGTGTACTTTTTTTTTTTGGTTTTGAGGTTCAAAGTTCACCTTTAACCCCAAGAAATGAAAGAGAAAAACCAAAGTAAATAAATAAACTTATAGGTTTGTTCTTTTTATTATTGCTTATATCTTTACAGGGGCAGAGGGAACGTGACGAGTGCTATAAACCTATTCTTGAAGAGCTTGTTCGTCTATTCCCTCATCGCTGTAGCATAAGGTGCATTATATCATCTTGCTGTTATTTTCACCAGTAGTGTCTTTGAGGTGTACACCTTGTATGCATTATTTGTTTTGTCAATGTCACTTCTTTTTTTTTACTTTCTGTGTATAATATACTATAGTGCACGGGGTATGAGTTGTTCTAGTTTGGACTAAAATGATGAAACTTGTTGAATAGCCCTCCTGCTTGTTTAGTTCCCGGCGCTGGACTTGGTAGGCTAGCTTTAGAGATTTCATGTCTAGGTATGTTGTTGACGTTGAATTTCACACATTTTATAGAGAAATATAACCTTCAAATAGTGCCTGATGCATTTTGCCATATCCCAGGTTTTATAAGCCAAGGAAATGAATTTTCATACTACATGATGATCTGCTCAAGTTTTATTCTAAATCAGTAAGTCTATAATGATAATCTCTTCTCGATTTGCTTGCTTTAAAGATTGTTTGGAAAAATGGAAAGATTCGAGATTGGTTGTTCTGATTTAGGCATTGTTTTATTTTTTTCTGTTAGCACTCAAGCTGCTGGGGAGTGGACAATACATCCTTGGATCCACAGCAATTGTAATTCACTTTCAGACAGTGACCAACTTCGTTCTGTCTCCATTCCAGATATTCATCCGGCTAGGTACTCCTCATTATGCTGTTTTTTCATTATCTTGCATTTATTTTTGTGTCTTCTTCTACTTAATTTGTTCAAACAAACCTTTTTCTTGATAAGATTTTACTTAATCTTAATCTTCTTGGGTTTCCATTTTGACTTTTTTTTTAATCAGTTTCAGAAGACTTTTTGTGGCCAAGGTTGTGGCTCAACTTATTCATTTAAGTAATTCTGGATTGGCTCAAAAAAACATGCTGGCTCCTTATTGGTACTCTTTAGGGATGGTAATGGACCAAAGCGGGGGTGGGGGGGGGGGTTATAGTTTTCATTCTTGTACCCACTTAAAAAAACTCCGTCCATCCCTAGTCTACCCCCGTTAACGGGTATGGTTTTCATCCCCATCCCCGTGCGCGGGTAAATTTGTAATCCCTGCCCCCATCCACCTTACAAGCCCATGCCAACATAGTCCAAAATTCTAAATAAATCTAACATTCTAAATAATTCAACATAATTATAAAATATTATAACATAATTAAAAACTTGCCATCTACAACATAATCCAACATAATATAATTAAAACCTTGTTTACAACATAAATACATAATCCAACATAATATAATTAAAGTTTGTCTCCCATGTAAATTCAACACCACATCATGCAACATAACACAATCCAACATAAAAACATAAAGATCTACACTTTTACAAGCTAAAATATGAAAAAAAAAATCAAAAAAGAAAATAATTTTCAAAAGAAAAAATCATTCAATAATATGTAGATTTGTAGTCACAGAAACATATATATAATAACAATAACGGTAAAACGGGACGGGGAGGGGCGGGGTTAAGTGTGAGTCCATCCTTGCCTTCATTCCCGCACAGGTTTGTACGGGTTTTTCTGTATGCGTCCACTATCTAATACGTATGGTGCATCCCTCGTCCAAACGAGACGGGTTTGGGCGAATACCCATTCTTACCTGATCTACTGCCATCCCTAAGCACGAACACCTCATCAAAACTGTAGTATTTGTACTCCATATCTAATATGTATTGGATATAGATTTGCCTCAGATACAACCGAATACATGTCGGAAACAACCAAATATGCCTTGAACATTTTGAATTTCCTTTAATTTTGGATAAATTTAGGACACGCCGAAATACGTGGCTGATATGTTTTTGGTATGTCAAGGACATAGATATCGGGATCGTAGATACCCTTACCATCCCACAAACCGGGGTCGCACAACCCGAAACGGAGTGGGTTCGTGATTTAGATCACCTAAATTCTCGATCTCAAATTGTAACTCAAATCCCAAATTGAATATCAGTTAATTGTGTGTATATGAATGTACAATCATATATAATCTCATCTAATAGACAAAGCGATCCTATAAAAAACGAACTACGACTTAAAATAGCGTACCAAATCANAATTGAATATCAGTTAATTGTGTGTATATGAATGTACAATCATATATAATCTCATCGAATAGACAAAGCGATCCTATAAAAAACGAACTACGACTTAAAATAGCGTACCAAATCAACCTACCCCCATTATACCGCGTACCTATACCACGTACCAAATCGATCTACGATCCAAGTAACATTGGACAAAGATTGTTAAGTGATACATGTAGGATACGATGGAGATACTTTGGAGCTAAATATATCATTTTTTACTTTTAAAATACGTTATTGAAATAAATAATTGAAGTAATCAAAATAACAATATGGGGGTTTGCTCAAGAAAAAATGTTATTTTGACCTCAAAATAGCTACCTATTTAGTGTGATGTTTATTGAACCAGACCTTTTCATAAGATATCGTTAATCTCATAATTGAGATTTTATCCCTCTAGAAGTGAAAATCAAGAGACACATTTGAATATCTATTACAGTTTATTGTATATCTAATATTCTAGATGAGTTTTTCATTGGAATACCAGAATAATGGAATCTTTTTCTTTTCTTGGTCAATTAAGATTTATGGATGTGTTTGACATATCCTATAATATTTAATATATTCAGTATACAATAGGCTTGTCAGCATTCATTAATTTTATACCATTGTACACTATGTAAAATATATAGAAATATTTATTTAAGTATCTTGCTGCATCTATATCCCACTTTTTTTTCTATTTTTCTGTATTGCCATGTCCATATTGTATCTGTATCCGTATGCTAGTAATCTTGACATTTAGTTCTATGTGAAGAGCTATTTAGTCCAAACTGAGGCCATGATCCCAACCCAACCTCTGTGTAAATTAATTTTCAACATGAAGATCTATCCTGAGTTTTGAGTTCCTGTTTGCGGTAATATCCATCTTCACGTCGTTCACCCAAGTGCTTTTTGGCCTCTGTTCAAGTCTTGTTCACAAAAGTAAACCTTTAAATGGTGTTACGAGTCCCTGCACGTTGAATCATCCTGCAATTTTTAAAGAACATTTCAACAAACATTTTAATTGCCTAAGATATGAAAAAATGACTGCATTTCGGTGGAGCACTGGAGGTGACTAGTCGCTTCTGGAGAAGCTGTGAGTTCGTGAGCAATGAATGAAGAGCCATGTGCCTAAAAGGGGTTGCACTACTGGCTGTCTTGCAAAAATTCCATAGCCGTGAAACCCGGTTGGCATGTGTTGGGGGAGCATAGTATAGGGATGAAAAAGTTGGGCTGACATGGAATAGTTTTGGAAGATCTTAGAATGCTGTTAGTTAAAAATTACATTTAGATGCTGTAAGAAATACAACGATCTCATTGTGAGTCTATGCGTCTTGAAAACAATGCCAATCTGCTTAGTGACTGACATAAACCATTTTTACTTTCATCCTTTCCTCCCCCTCCTTTTTTTTGAATGGCTTTAATTGTGCAATTTATGCCAACTCTTGACAGTTTCTCTTTTTAATTTTGTGTTTGATTCTTAGGAAGTAGCTTGCAATTTTTCTCCCTTCTCAAGTTCTCAGTGAAAATTTTGACCAAGGGGCCCTAGTTTCAGCATGACTTCCATGACATTTGGTAGATATGAAAGGTTGTAGGAAAGGAGGGAGGCAGTGAAGGGGAAGGAAAAATGGAGGGGGGTAAGCTGGAGAGAACGCTTTCCCCTGGGCCCACCGAAACTTATCCCCCCAAATTGGAAATATTGGAGGAGCTAGAGCACTCGCTTCTTTTGGACAAGTTTTCCCTTTATATGTGCTCAACCTTTGACTAGACCTGGGCAAAATGGTAAATCTCTTTAAAACACTTGAATTGCCCTATTTTCCTTCTTGCATGATCCAAGAAAAGATAACGAATGGCCCCTTCCTTTCCCTATGGCTACTGTTCAACCTCTCTTTCCTTCACTTTCACTTCCCTTCGCCTCCTTCAACCATTCCTTCATTACATGAACCATTTTGCAGCAAGATTAGAAGGGTTCCCAGGACAAAGAAGTAATACAGACATGGTCTTATTTTTGTCTTAATTTTGGATTCCCGCTCCTGCTGTGAAATTATGGGTTTGTTACTTACAATAGTAAATTGGCAAATATTAGCTTGGCTAGGTGGTCCCTGATATAGATATAGGTTGGTAGGCAGAAACAATATTTTCCTGCAGGAATTTTATTAGAATATCAATACTTTTGTACTCTTGAATTTTTCATGTTATGTTCTAGGATAGTCTTGTTCCAAGTCACAAGCAAATATGGGAGCTTTGGTGATCATAATGGTATTCTGTTTCACTAAGTAACAGCCAACGGCTCGCAGTAGGGCATACTGAAGGATTGCCCAGGCTTTCTTCACTAGACATCTTCATCTGCATACTCATGAATTTCACTAGTTGGTGATCATTTCCTTAGAGGTTTTTGCTTGTCTATTGGAGATCCACCAAAAGCCTTACGACTTCCGATTGCTGGTGTATGGAATTCCTGCTTGTATTCATTCAGACATATTGTAGCATTGCCTTTTTCTTCCCAATGTTACATTTTAGCTTGAAGTGGAGAACACAGAATAAATCCTACTCTACTTGGGCAACTTGTGAAAGATATGTAAATTTTGGCCTGAGCAGACCTAGTCGGAAAGTGCTTTTCTGAGAGGACAGGACAGTCATATTGGCTGTGTATAAATCACATGATGAAAGTTTTTAGATTAACCGATGGGACACTTGTCAAACAGAGTCGCCGTTGGTGAGTTTTGATGCCCTTTCCACTGTTAAAGAGTTACCAATGGCTAAACCAATACTTTGGGAATGCGAATATTTTGCAAAATGTCAAGAGGCATAGCCTTGTTAACACTCTCTTGAAGATTCTGTATTGTAATTAGTTTATTGGATGCTAAATTTTGTCCTTTCCTTTGTTGAAACACTGGAAATATCTGGGCTTCTTTGGTACATTCACAGAATCATGTTGGACAATATCCTGTGGTGCCCTGAAAGCAATATGTTTTCTTCTTTGAAGCATTATGCTATAATACCAACAGTATCAGATTTTCTCTAAGTTTTTCTTTAGTAGTTGCCACTTACTGTAGAAATGAGCATGGCACTTAGGTTAATCATCTTGGAAACTAGCCTGAGCCATATTGTTGCAGTGTTCCATGTTCTTGTGACTTCCACATGCACCTTTAATGGTTGTTGCTCAAGTTATCATCGACTCCCCTTGGAAACAGTGCAGGGATTACTGAAGGCTTTTCGATGTGTGGTGGTGACTTTGTTGAAGTCTACAGCGATCCAAGCCAAGTAGGTAGGACAGATACCAGGACATCTTTCTTTATGCGTTGATTTCTTATTATGTAATTGATTCATCATAATATTTGTGATATCAGTGCAGAGGAAAATTTTGGATAATATGTGACAAAATACACTTGACCTTTTGATAACTGATCATTTAGAAGGAAATGATTTTTTCTGTTGTCATAATTGTTGGCTACTTTTCCTTTGACTTTAGTTTTTTTTTTTTCCCCTTTGTGGAAGGTACCTTTAACTTTGGTACCAGAAACTGTAGATTATATATTAAGTTATTGTAATTGATATGGTTGTGCGTATGTTACTTCGGAAATGCGACGTAGATCAAGACGACGAAATTAAAAATGAGAAGAGAAGATTAAGAAGAATTAAGAAAATAGGTCCAAGATCTACGCCAATGAATTAAAAGGTCCGAATAATCAACCCGGTAATCAGTTGTTAGAATCAATAGGTCTTCAACATTCATTTGAAAAAATGGAAACCCATATATTAAGTTATTGTAAAGGATCTGGTTGTGTGTACATTACTTAGGAAGTGAGATGTAGAGTAGGCCGAAGAAATTAAATATGAGAAGAGAAGATTAAGAAGAATTTAAGAAAAGAATCAAGAAGTAGAATCAATTAAAAAAGGAAGAAAAATCAGATAAAAGGAGGGAGAAGATTCAATATTTCAAACAATCATTCATAAACCACAGTTTGTCAAATACTAATACAACAATACCTTTATATAGGACCTAACCTAAAATTAAGACTTCTAGTACATCCCTACTACTAAAAGATAAATACTAAATAATATCCAAATAAATAAATTTAAAAATCAATCTACATCATTTATCCCATCTCCAACGTTTATTCGTGGCTGAGAAAATTCAACTTTTTTGTGAGATACGACATCAACTAGACTTTTTTAAAAGTGTTACAAGTCATCTGTGATCCATTTGTTGTACGTATTGAGTAAAGAGAATGGGTCATTCTATAGCATACTTCAGTGAAAAACTTAGTAAGGCTAAACTGAGATACGCTATATATGATAAAGTTTTGCGCCGTTGTGTAGATTTCTCCCCATTTGGAGGTGATATCTTCTGACTCCAAAGCTTGTGTTTTATCTTGACATATTGCTATACTTTAGCTTCTAGATAAAGTTGATGCTAAGCACATTAGGCAGGTTGAGTTCTTTCTGGAGTAAACTTTTGTGCTCCACTACTGGGTGGGAATAGAGAATAAGGTTGTGGATGCTCTTAGTCAAGCTGTAGTTATTTTACAGACAATGAGTGTCCATGTGCTTGAATGAAGAGGCAATCAGGTCAATGCAATCTTGTTGCGACATTAATATTATTTTTGGGGATATTAAGCCTAGGAAGCGGCATGATTGCATTGACCTTCTTATTAGAGATGCTTAGTTGTTTGAAGGTCTAGGTTATGTTTTCCCTACCATTCAATTAGTGATTTCTTAGTTTGGGTGTTTCATGTAGAAGGTTTGCCATGACATTTTGGTAGGGATAAGATATTTGCACTAGTTAAAGATAGATTTTTCAGTCCAGGCTGAGACACGATGTCTCTAGGATAGTGACAAAGTGTCGAACTTGTTAGTTAGCAAAGGTTAGGAAACAAGACATTGTGTTATAAACACCATTACTAGCTCCATGGACACCATGAAGGGATCTTATACTAGATTTTGTTGTAGGGGTTATCTAAGACAATTTGAGGTCACAATTTCATTCATGTTCTCATAGGTCGGTTTTCTTCAATGACACATTTTGTTCCTTGCCCCAAGTTTACTGATGCTTCACACGTAGCCAAGGTACTCTTTAGAAAGGGCGTTTTACTCCGTTTGTGTCAAAAAATGTCAAATTTGTGAGTTACTTTTGGAGGAGACTTTGAAAGCTCTTTGGGACTAGGCTTAAGTTTTTTCCGGCTTTCCACCCCTAAATTGATGGTGAGACTATTATTAATCATTTTTCATGGTATTTGCTTAAGATTCTAGTTGGTGGAAAGCGAGAATGGAGATTTGTTATTGCTGGTTGTAGAGTTTATGTAAGTGCCCTTTTGAGATTGATTACGGTCATTCCTCTTGACAACTTATTGACTTGTTGCCTCTACCTTTTCATTCCTGTCCTTTAGAGTCTGTTGGGGAGTGTTTGGCCCAACATATCAGTGACATTCATGGCAACATAAGACAAACAATTGCATTTTGTAATGAGAATTATATATTCGCTACTAATGGTAGGAATATTGAATTCCAATTAAAGAGATTACGTCATGGTTCATTTGCATCTTGAGCTTTACTCTAAAAATTCCTTTAAGAAGTTACATGCTTGAGTCACTAGAACTTTTCGTATTTTTTGTAAGCTTGGACCATATGTCCATCACCTTGATTTACCTTTGAATATTGGATATCTTTTCTATTTTCAAGGTGGAAGACTTGTATCCAGATCGATATACTTTTGAGCTTCCTATGTTGCCCTCCTATGGGTGGAGTCGCTTATTTGTTGGCACAATTGCCAATTCCAATTATCTTGCCACCTCCATCACAAATTGCGAACCAGCTAGTGGATGTGCTAGAGGATCAAATTTTCAGTTCACGGATGGAGGTGAATCTACCATCATACAGAGACTTGTTGAATTACCAAGTAGGAATTTGTCATCTCAATCCCAAACTTTTAAAGAAATATTACCATTGTATTTCTCGGTACTCAAAGAGAGTTTTTCTCATCTTGGCATAAAGGATGGTATTATTAGTCATAATACAACCAGGGCAAGTTCTAACAACTGTGAACTGACAAAGCACACCAGTGGCAGAGCTAGAAATATGTTTTAGGGTGAGCACACTTAGCCACAAGTTCTACTTTATCCTCTAATAGATAAAAGTAATATCATACATTTATGTTTTTTATATCGTATTTAATACTTAAAGTTTTATTAAACATAAAAGGTCAAAAAGCTCGGATACATAGTCTATGCAAACAAAAAATAACTAAAAAAAGGTTGATTATAACATTTTACAAAAAAATGACGCTAATTATAATCATTTACAATTGAACCTACTAGTTTTCATACATTGAAAGTGATTCATGAAAATTTTATTATCAATGTCATCAAAAATGACAATGGAATGAGTCAGACATTAAATACTATTTGAATCTAATTTGTTAACATAATTTGCTGACCTCATCCATTACAATTATTGAATTGGTTGTGAGTTCCAACAAATATTGGGGTCCACTGTCACTCTAATAGTTATGATTATGAATGATTAGGTCAGTAAATTAGGTCTAAATAATATTGCTTTTTTTTTATTGTTGATTCCAAGAGATTTGATATGACTCATATTCTTTCTTTTTTTTCTAAGAACCCAGCAGATTTGTTCTCCTCTCTATGATAGGCCAAAGAATGAACCCAATTTTGTTTTTTTAAGTCATTAAGGTGGGCCCAATTGAAGGTATCCAAAAAAATATGCAAAAAATACAAAAAAATGCAAAAAATGCATAGATAATTTTAAAGTCATAGATTTTTGTTGATGGATTGTATTGCATGGGAATTCAAAAAGAAGGGATTATGATTAAAATTTAAAATCATTTACATTGTTTGGTGTATAGAAGTATCCACAAAGTATCTCTGCATTTTATTATTGGATACGCATCCGATGTGTATCCTTAAGTATCGTATTCGATATTATATCTAATACGAATATGTCGATTTTGAAGAAGTATCTCTGTTTCATAGTTAGTAGATGGTCTGCATTGCATTTCACCTATTTCAGCCTGAAATGAAGTTTCATCGGAGTAAAAGATCATTTTTTCTAACTCAACTTGGGATAGTAGCTTGTTTGTCCCAATTTTTTTCACATTCTCTTAATGCTAAAAATTAATTTCTACACAACCTCATATGGACATACATTGCAAATTCTCGTTTACCTTAAAATAGCATGCAGGGGTTAAAAATTGAACTTATCTAATCTAATACAGATATAACCCACACACACACCCACACACACACACACAATCTCTCTCTTCTGGGCGTACGTATTCATCCATCTTTATTGTGCACACGCACACATGTATGGCTGTGCCCTTCTTGATTTTCAAGGGTTGCGACATTGTACACACCTTGTTTGTGTCAAATCTCAGCCCCATACTTGTTTCTACAAAGCGCAGGTTGTAGGAAGTGGATATCGTTCAAAGCAATATTGCTTAAATTTTTGGTTCTTGCAGAATTGAGTTGATAATAGGAAGGAATTGTTGATCAGCATGTTGGATATTCATTTAAATCTGATACGAGTATTTTACTAGAACAAGGGTAGAGGATTCTATTAGATATTTCCATCAGAGTTATCATTGCAGCACATTTTGGTCATGCTTAGGTGGATCCTTGTAACTTTCTTTTTATCGGGACCCATGTAAATTGATTACTTGATTCTAAGAAACGTTGGTTGTCTCATTTTAAGGATATTTTGTAGATCTAATACAAGGTATGTTACTAGTCTGCGAAACATCTGAAAATGGTGTTTTTCTTACTAATAGTTTATAAGACATTTGTAATTTTGCTCACATAATTCTGGTCTACTAGCTGCAAGATAATAGGAGATTTTCAGAGTGAAAATTTTTGAGTAGGTACTAGAATAATAGCAAGTAGCCAACCCAGGTACCAAAATTCATCTCAATATATTGTACATTGTTTATTAACTTAAGTTCTTTTTTTTCCGAAGGTTTAAAGTTCTTAGTTATCATTGAAGTACTATGTTTCTATTGGATATGTCTCTTAATGTTACTTTGTAATGTATTGCCTAGAATGTATTGCCATTTCATCTTCCAAATTAATTTGCACAACTTCCTTGTTGATATTTTTTGATATGGAATCTGCATGAATACTTTCATTTTTCAAATAAAATCGTGTAATTAAGAAATTTTTAACACCAATTGCAAAATTATTTTTGCAGTTTTTTATTTAATGCTCTGAGAAATGATATGACTATGTATAGTTAAATGCAAGTGGATGCATTAATATGATCATAAGAACATATCGTGCTATTGTAAAAGAAAGAGAAAGAAACATGGTTATTGATTGTTTGAAAAGGGTGATATGCATATTCCGTTGGGTTTAAATCCTGGATGTAAGCGTTTCTGCCATAGCTCTCCATAGTGGAGGCCCCTTGCTGGGACTGATTTCTATATTTGCTGCCCTTTATAGGCAAGAGGGCTAGGTGTTTGTTAGTTGGGAACGGTGACACATTTCTCCACTTAGATGAACACAAACCCAAGCTCTCATAGAGAATTATTCAGAAATCAGAGTGGGATATATACTGCTTATCTCCTGTGTCCCCAGAGAAAGGGTTAGTGCTTTGTCCAACTGGACTCTTCAGTTTTTATGGGCTTGGCAATTTCACTGTGTTTTAAAATGCCTATCTAGTGAAAGGTGTATTCCCCTAGGACCCTTGTATTTTTTATTAAAAATTTCCAAAAATGTAGCTTTTGAACATGTAGTGAAAACATTCTTGTGCTAACAATCACAGGTTTGAATCTAAAGGCTGCTACCTTCTATCCAATAATCAAAATTCAAATTTGGTGCATAGTTTGGGTTAGAAATAGAAATTTTTCAAAAATATAATCAAAATAGGGAAAAAATTGATGACTTATTGGAAGCATTTAGAAATATAAATTACAATTTCTTTATGTTATAAGTTGAATGAGTGATTAATTGAGCATGTTTATTGTCTAAACATCCATGTCCACGAAATCCAGTTAGAACAAAAGAAAAAATTAATTTGAAGCGGAAGTCATTTCGAATAACATCAATGATTCATCAATTTGTTAAACAGCAATGTTCCCACCACCACTTTTGTCCTTGAGATAAAGAGGAAGCAGCATTATTTTAGTTGACGAATTCGGAAACATTGAAAATTTTAATTCCCAAACACTCCCAAACAACTTTGTTTTTTCGAAACAAGGGAATTTCAATTTTCAATCCATTCATTTTGAACCAAAATTTGGATAATTTCTAGTACCTAGTAATCCAAAAGGTTAAGTCTACTCAGTCCACAACCCTTCCAGCTTTTCGGTTAGTGGGGACCAAACTAGGTAATGATTCTTCGTAGCCTTTAGAATCTATGGGTTTCTCTGCCTCGGCAGCACCTCTGAACGTACGAGTTTCTATGGTTTGGCAGCATCTCTGATCTGATAGACAGTGGGCAAACAGATTACGTTCTGATTTCACATAGTTAATTCGCAAAGGAATGCCTTCGAGCTCCTTGTAAATTTGATGTATCTGTCAGTCTCTTCGAAGGCTACATGCTAAATATATATTATATTTTCAAAGTCATACGCTGATGGATTCCTTTTTATTCTATTTGCAGGAGCCTGGGATGCTGTGGTGACCTGTTTTTTCCTTGATACAGCGCACAATATTGTTGAATACATTGAGATCATTTCGAAAATTCTCAGAGAAGGGGGAGTAAGTAGATTGAATGAGTTTCTCGTTAAATTCTTTTTATTTTGTTTTGTCATGCATTACTTAATGTGATTCTTTGGTAGGTCTGGATAAACTTGGGGCCCCTACTGTATCACTTTGCAGATATGTATGGTCAGGGAGATGTAAGATTCTTTCCCTTCCCTTACAAAGATACACATGCATCCCTATGTCTAGTGGTCCTATATTGGTTTTTTCTTAATTTCTTTCTAGGAGATGTCAATTGAGCCGAGTTTGGAGGACGTGAAAAAGGTTGCTCTTCATTATGGATTTCAAGTGGAGGTAATCTCAATTTGGAGAAAACAGTTTGTTTCTATAAAGAATACGGCATTATGGGTTACAATTTTAACTCTTCAATTCTCTTACAACAGAAAGAGAAGACCATTGAAACTACCTATACTACAAATCCTCGATCAATGATGCAAGTAAGTTTCTCACCACCTGCATGGAAACTTCAAAATGTGTCTCTAGTTGTGCTAGAAATTAAACAAGGGAATCAGGAAAGAATGTGTGTTTGACATATTGCTGCTTGATTATCCAATAGAACTATCAGACTATTAGGGAAAGAATACAAATCTATACCTATTTATCTTTTTTTTTTCCAAAATTTGAATACTTAAAGTTCATTGTATCATCATTACACCAGACTATTATGACTGGTAATCTCTTAAGACTTGAAAAAATTCTATGCCCACTCGAGCCCACAAACTCCTTAAAGTAATGAAGAGTCCCGGGTAATTTGATAACAAGTGTATGCTGCAAAGTGTTTTCTTTTTGCCAAATATTCGATGTATCAAATGTAAAAATAGGAAGGAAAACAAATAGTGGCCAGCACCTAGTATTGGTCCCTCTAATGTGGGATGCTTGGAGTAGACTGTACACTGAAGTTTTTTCAGTTTTGTACAAAGAAGCTGCCTCAATCTCAAATCCATGTGGCCCACAGGCACACATGGCAGCCTGAAATTTTGTTGTTACACCCAGCATTGGATGCCCTGCTATGAAACATTCATAGGCATGGCATACATCATAGAAGTTGCTGAAAAGCAACATGTAAGAAAGGGCTAGATACGGTGAAAACTGTTGGATTCGCTGTCAGACTTTTATATATTATCTGCTCTAGTATGCATCAGCTACAATTTCTAACATGAAATAGGATCATTTAAATTGTTATTGTTTATATGGGAAAAGTACTGATATGTTCGCCTTCAAGGATGAATGCTGTATCAAAAGTTACTTGGGCCATACTTTGGACAACATAAACGTCTCATATCTTTGTATTGAATATTTTGGAACCACTATTCTGATAACAGTGCTATATTCATGTTGGTGTAAATTTGGTATTTAGTTTGTGTATCAGTAGCTGATTTATTGCTCAAATTGGAATCCAATTGAAAAATCTATTGATAACTGAATATGGGGAACTCGGTATTCTCAGGTTTCCTCTCAAAAGGGACACGATTTTCCTTTTAATCAGCCATCTTGATAAGTATTTATAAACTGCAAAGATATCTGTTAGTTTGAACTATTTCTTATGTTCCATGAGAGAGGATTCAAATCTTCTTAGATTTTGAACTAGTCCAGTTAATTGAAGCATATTTTTCTGGGTGAACAAGATTGAAAATGAAATCATGATTGGACTTGTAAATTTAACATAGTTATCCTTTACTTCATGAAATGTGAACAGCATATATGATTAAAATTTTGATCCTAAGATAGTAAACATACTAGTATATCGATGCATCAAGGCCAGAACTATCGTGGAAATATATTTCTATGAACCACTTCCTGATAGGACTAGATTTTATCTGTGACTCTTTCTTAAATGCTTTTGTAGTATCTCCTAAAGCATTATCACTTTCGGCTTTTCTAAGTTTGAATGATCTTCAAATTGCAGAACCGATATTACACTGCATTCTGGACGATGCGAAAGAGGACATTGGAGACCATGAAGCAGCAAGGCATGACCTAGATTCATGTCCATGTCGTCTCAAGAATTCTGAACTGGATCGTTGCAGTTAAGAGTATTTTTCTCATCTTTTGATTCAATTGCAGAGTAAAAACATATTCACAGAACATTTCTGCATCCCATAAAATTACCCAATTTAATAATTTACTATTTATATATAGATTTATTTATCATGTGTTTTATTTCAAGACTGTACACTTACCATTATCTATATATATAGAGGTTCACTTGATGTATTTGCAACTCGGTTTGCATTTTTTACACTGATTTCTTTAGTTATTCCTCCTTTGAGGAAAAAATCTCTGGGTATACCATGGACAAATCTGTATTATCAGTTTATTATTTTTTAACTTATTTCCCAGTCTACCTATTCTTTGGATGAAAGTGTGGTTTTAGATGAGATTTTCAATTTCAAAGCGTGTTTACAAAATAACAATTTTAAATAATAGTGTGATTGTGAAACACATTTTCTTTTTGAAACTGTTTTATGTATATACACTTGCAATGGACCGTGGTTGAAGAATACTATGTAACACGAACAATTTGTCAATTAGGAAGTTAAACCTAATCAAAAATGTTAATGAAAAGCTGAAAGTAATAGAGATGATGGGCATTGCCAGCCTATGTAGACACAACAACAGAATTGGTCATTCCAGATTCAAGACCATTAGGAGTAGCTAGGACATATCATTCTAGATTCAAGACCATTAGGAGTAGTTAGAACATAACAATCTTATATCCTAGAGTGAGAATTGCATAAAGTCTAAAATGTATTTTGCTTTTATTTTTTAACGGTCAAGGATGTTTGGATGAGTTCGATTAATTCTTTTCTTGGGCAAAGATAAATCATTCACGTTGGAATTAAGGTATTCATCAAGGATAAATTTTTCATGATTTTGTTCCAAGAAATTGTTAAGGTTTAAATTTAGGATGTTTGAGTTTCGAGCTAGTCTTCGTTATCACCAGAGTTGCTCCTTGTCTTCTTTGTCGTCTTATGCATACTAATGATATGAGCAAAAGTCTGCGATTAGATTGCCTACAATCAAGGATGACTCCACACAAATATGGCAACCGGAGATTAAGGCAAATTGTCTTTTTTAGGATCTTTTCCTTTAATTTGTGTAACCTGTGTGTATTTTCTCTCTCTCTTTTTTATTTTTTTATTTTTTTTTATTTTGTGGATCTTTTTTCGATAATCTCCCCTCATAACTCTCATGTGAGTGGCACATGGACAGAGATTTGCTATCTATTTAATTGGATTGCAAAAGTTTGACTTTTCTATTAACTTTTCGTTAGGTTTTCAGTTAGCCTCCAAGTCATTGCTGTGTATAGAATGAAGCAAATAAGGGTCGAATAAAAGAGAAAAACAAAGGCATAAGAAACTCTTTTCCTTTCTACAAAGGAGGAAGCAGCTACGAGATGTACATATGAGTGATATGAAACAACTACATGGTTGGATTAGTATAACTTTTCCTTATTTAAATTTCTCTATTTTTTTCTATTTTTTTGGTCGCTCCCGCAAAATAGAGTAAATATTGGATGTAACGTTTACAATACGTCACAATGGTTACATCACGTCATGCTTATATAGTGTAATTGCCTAATAACAAGACAACAAGTAGATAACTATACATCCACGTCATGTAATAACTATTCTTGTTGAATCTACTTGTCTACTTGTTGTCTTATTATTAGATGGTTATACCACGTCAGCTTGACGTGGTATAACCGTAATACTCAATATATTCTCCACAAAATGGGATACCCAAAATCTATCACATTTTCTTAAAAACTTTGATATCCTTCCAACGAGACTCCATGCAGTTGGAATTATCTTCTTGTGCATAGACTCCACATGTGAAATTGTGAGAGGCTCCCCCTTGGCCAGGTGCTACCAACTGGAGAACTCCATCGATGTATACCTTCACATCCTCGGCTTCAACATCATGGATTACGTTTAGTCGGAACCAACGATCGTAGATGTCCGGGACAATGACTAGACGATTGTAGTATGACAATGCACCATTGCATACTCCGAGAACTAGGGTTGTTGCATGAGTACTAGCTCCAAAAACTTGCATGATACACACCCCCGACGTACCATATCCTTCGAATTGCCAAACACCGGAGGAATAATCATATCCTGAGAGCGGTGAATCAGAGATATAACGACGAGTGATTTTTCTTTTTTAAACTTTTTTTTCCGATTAAATACTATCACAGGAGAAGAGGATAATAAGATTAAAAGCCGCGACTTTAAAGTTCAACAGCGATGCAGTGACCATTATTAGAGCAACCGTTAACCTCAAATAAAGAGTGATTCGATGCAATTGCATGAAAGAAATTCCATGAAGGAGATTTTTATTTGTTATGCATGATTGAGTTAAAACTAAGCAGAAATAAGCCAGTAAAACCACTATGTTTGGGTGTTTTTTTTAAATCCAGCTGTTTTTTGAAAAAGCTTGTAGTGCGGATTAGTTTGATACACACACACATATACAGTGACCCCTACTTTTAGATAACAACAAAATGACCCCATAACGAGTTTCAAAATGTTGTAAAATGAGCACAACATGCCCAAAACTTATCCAAATATGTCCGTAACGAGTCCACAAATTCATAGTAATTCACATATAGGTTTATATTAATCGATAGAACAAGAAATTGATAGAATGGCTGAGTCAATATACTGAAAAAAATATTTTGAATATACAAATAATTTTTTCTTAAAAAACAAAATTTAGGGTAGGCCTATGCCTCCTGGTCTACTACCGGCTCCACCAGTACATGTAAAGGAACTTAAGAAGAAGGTACCCAAGAGCTAATATTCCCGCGATTAATGTTATGCTTACTAAATTTTTATATCTTCGTTCCAAATGGTGTGGCACAACTTTTCACTATCAGATAAGTAGGTCTCATTAATATTCAATGACGGAGATTGTATCACATCATTTATGATAAAAAATTTGATAAAAAAATTTGGTGAGTATAACATTTTCCTATTCATGCATACAGATATCATTACTCTCATGCTACTATATCTGTAAAATGCATGGCTTCAATGCAACAATCTATCTAATAAAACACATAAAATTATGAATTTTTATCCCTTACATATTTTCTCGTTCATTTCTATCACAAGTTATATTATTTAATTTTTTATTAATTGATTTTCATGTACCATAATGAGTAGCAATTAATTTTAAATCATATTATTAAAAAAAGAAAAGAAAAAAAATTATTATTTAATATCGTGATATCAATTTTTAAACAATTTGACTTTATGCTACATTGTATATTTAGATGTGGGTTATGACTAGTTGATTAATATGGTTCATGGGTTCTGATGATACATAGAAAGGATTTTAACTAAGTATGAGCTCGGGAAAGGAGGTCAGACAAGGAGGTCAGATAAGGAGTCCAGGGCTCAGAGGCCCAAACCTTGAGCTCCCTTCGGATAAAAGAGTAAAGGAGATGAGAAAGGATCAATTGGCTAACAGGAGGCATCTCCAAAACAACAGAAGACAATAATTAAGGCACGAAACTCTCAATCACCCAAGATCCTCTCCCAAAATTAAGGGAAATCCCGCAGATGAAGGGCAGAGATCTCACTGTAGATCCCTTAGAGATGGGAATCGGACTATAAATATTGAACAACGCCTCCATCGAGGGGAAGAGACCCCCAATTGTATGAGAAACACTCTGTAATTTATAGCTGTCATCAATATAGATCCAAGGAGCAAGAGACTCCCTTTAAGAGTGGATTAGCCGAGCTCCCGAGATCGGTTAACAACTATACTTTCATTGTGCAAATCATCCCCATTCCCCAACTTTGAAATACTTAGATCCAAGCTAGCCAATGTAGTTTATACGTTCTGCTCAATCCATTTAATTAAACACCATCAATTTTGCGCCGTCTGTCGGAATGATTGTTCTTGTTACAAACTAGCTGAACCTTCCAGCAACTGATGGTCTCCACATGCAACATGAGCAGAAGCCAGATGAATCCCCCACGGATGCAGAACCAACAGGAGGCCACTCGCAGCAGGCAATAGGAAAATCTTCAAGATTTCTTCCCCGCTGTCGAGGTCAATTCTCCTATGACGAATCCTCATACGAATAACGAATTGGAGACTTTTCGCCTAGCCAACCAGCACCTGCTCCAGCAGAACGAGGCGCTCTTGAAGCTCTTGCAAGGTCCTCAGTAGGCAAGACCAGCTCAAGGAGATCCCCCACAAAGGGAGCGTCAACATCTCGATCCCCTCAACGAGGACAACAAAAGAGGGGATAATAGCCAGACCATGGGATAGGTTCCCCAACAACTCCCTAAGAATGGTGATAACAAAGAAGCACAGAGTCAAAATGATGGGGTCGAGAAAAATAATTTTCTTCTTTTTCTATAGGAAATGAGAGAACAATACTAGGAACAACGCTTCAGAGGCATCTAGCAGCAGCTCAGTCACATGAAGGAAGCCGTGAGGGGGTAAGACTCCAATGATAATGGATGCATTGGTGTAACAAACCAATTCCCCATTTACTGTTGGGGTATTGCATTTCCCCCCCTCCAAAGTTCAGAATGCCGCAGATAGAGACATTTGATGGGATTAAAGATTCCATGGACCACCTCAACACCTACAAAAATCAGATGGAGCTGCATGAATATCAGGACCCTGTGTGATGCCGAGCCTTCTCCATCACGCTAAAAGGCTCAGCCCTAGCCTGGTTCAACAGACTCCCCCCGACATCAATCTCTTTCTTCAAGAAGCTTTCCATATCCTTCGTGTCCCATTTCATAGGAGCCCGGACCTACCGAAAGCCAAGTTACCACCTATTGAATGTGAAATAGGGGCCTAACGAGAACCTGCGATCTTATGTCCAAAGGTTCAACTCAGAATCCCTGAAGGTAGATGTTCCAGATGAGAATTTCACCATCATAGCTTTCATTGCTGGGTTAGGAGTGCAATCGAAAGATTCGATGTTCACAATATCCAAGAACCTGCAAGCAAGCATGACAGAGGTACTGGCTAAAGCAGAGAAATATATTAATGGCAAGGAAGCCCTCCTCTCAAAGGTAGGGAACTCCTCCTCATAGAAGGAAAATGTGAAGGAAGAAAAGAGGAGGGATCAAAGTCCTAGGAAAAAAAGAGGACGAGATAGGNAAGGAAGCCCTCCTCTCAAAGGTAGGGAACTCATCCTCATAGAAGGAAAAGGTGAAGGAAGAAAAGAGGAGGGATCAAAGTCCTAGGAAAAAAAGAGGACGAGATAGGTCTCCAAAAAGAGACAGGGATCACTCTCCCAATAGAAAGGGAGATGTCAGAGATCACTTAGGTCTTCCTTAGTCAGAGTTGCAACCAAGATATGCACCTCGGCAGCTCACTCCTCTCACTGCCACGATATCGCAAATCCTGTATGAAGTACAAAATGAGAAGTTCCTCAGATGGCTACCTCGGACGAAGGCAGATCTAGCAAAAAGAGATCCCACCAAGTACTATGAATACCACAGGGATCATGGCCATCACACTGATGATTGTATCCAGTTAAAGAAGGAGATTGAATTCTTGATCCAACAAGGACAGTTGAGACGCTTTGTAGCCAATGACAATCAGAACCGAGCTTAGCCACCTCCAACTCCTTAGCAACAAGCCCCTGTGCAACATCAGCAACCTTTGGGAGAGATCAGAGTGATATCTGGAGGATTTGCAGAAGGCGGAGAATCTAGCATAGCAAGGAAGGCTCACTTACGCAGAATCAGAGCTGATGAGACACTAGGAGTGCATACTATATCCAAGACACCACGGTTGGATACGACCATCACTTTCTCAGACTTAGACCTAGAGGGCTGCCAGCATCCCCACGATGATCCCTTGGTGGTAAGAGCCATTGTTACCAACCGAACTGTTTATCGAATTTTGATCAACAATGGCAGCTCGGCAGACATCATTTTCGCGTCTGCATTTGACAAAATAGACATTGGAAAGGAAAAACTTGAGCCAGTAAGCACTCACTTGTTGGGATTCTTAGGAGAAAGGGTGTTGCTCCTACGGTCCATCCAACTTGTGCTCACCCTAGGAGACCCACTTTACCAGGCCACCACGACTGTAAGGTTCTTAGTGGTTGATGCACCTTTTGCATACAACCAGGCCACCACGATTGTAAGGTTCTTAGTGGTTGATGCACCTTTTGCATACAACATGCTGCTTGGAAGGCTATCCCTCAATTACATAAAGGCTATTCCGTTTGCCTACCACCTCGTAGTAAAGTTTCCTATCGAAAATGTAGTCGGAATGGTTCGTGGAGACCAGCGTGTAGCGCGAGAGTGCTACATGGCATTTGTAAAAAAGGAGATAGAAAATATCCAGTTAGATGAGCTCGACATAAGAGATGAGTTGGATACTAGACCCCTGTCATCAGAAGAATTGGAGCCAGTTCAGCTTGATGAAGAGCCAGAGCACCTAGTTTACATAGGATCAAAGTTGAGCAGGAAAATCAAAGAACTCTTGATTCAGTTCCTAAGGAGAAATATGAAAGTCTTTGCCTGGAAGCAAGAAGACATGAAAGGAATTGACCCCACAGTCATCACTCACAAGCTCAGTGTAAATCTCGCCTATAAGCCCGTTAAACAGAAGAGGAGAAGTTTCACCCCAGAACGCCAAAAAGTTGTCAATGAGGAGGTCAACAAACTTCTTCATACTAAAGCCATCAGAGAAGTAGACTACCTAGTCTGGTTAGCCAATGTGGTCTTTGTTAAGAAGATCAATGGAAAATGGCGCCTCTGCATCTATTTTACAGACCTCAACCGTGCCTACCCTAAAAACAGCTTCCCTTTACCTCGGATAGATTTGATTGTGGATGCCACCGCTAGACACGAGCTCTTCAGCTTTATGGACACCTTCTATGGATACAATCAGATTAGAATGGATCCCAATGACCAAGAAAAGACCTCATTCGTGATGGAGCAAGGGACGTACTGTTACTAGGTTATGCCTTTCGGACTAAAAAATGCTAGAGCCACCTACCAGCGCCTAGTGAATCGAATATTTAAAAAATAGATTGGGACGACCATAGAGGTCTACATTGATGATATGTTGGTAAAATCATTAAAGGCAGAGCCCCACATCGAGCATCTAGAAGAGTCATTCTAGGTCCTTAAAGAATATAGAATGAAGCTCAACCCTGCCAAATGTGCCTTTAGAGTGTCTGCTGGTAAATTTCTGGGCTTCATAGTCGACAGCAGGGGGATTGAAGCTAATTCAGAAAAGGTTAAAGCAGTAATGGATATGCAACTGCCTTCCAACACAAGGGAAGTATAACAACTAACAGGGAAAATAGCTACATTGAGTCATTTTTTGTCCAAATCAATTGATAAATGCCAATCATTCTTTCAAGTCTTAAAGAAGGCCTTCTAATGGAATACCCGGTGTGAAGAAGCATTCAAAGTTTTGACAGACTATTTGAGCTCACCCCCTGTCCTAGTAAGTCCATTGGAAGGAGAGGTACTGATTCTATATCTCGCAGTTTTGAATTTCTCAACCAGCGCAA